AGAGTGCCGCATTCCACGAGGCAGCAGGTGCTCCTTCCTTTTTGCTGAGAAATAGTCCAACGCTAGTCAAAACCTTTTGCCACGGAAAGATGAACAGTTCCTCAAAAATAAGCGTTGCATTACAGCCGGCGCGGGGAGAGGAAGGGGGGTGGTGATGGCAGAATCCATCATCCGGAAGTGGTTGATTAATCACTCACCGAGATGTGCCATATTTAGGAGGATCGTCGCTTCTGCATCACCACAAATTCGGTGTCGTTGTCAACACTTCGAAGACACACCGCTCTGTGTGTTGATGACTACGCTTTGTTTATGTGTGGCTGTGGTGCACCGCAGACGTAATCATCCACTGGGAGTGTTTACATTACCCTGCCTACAAGATACCACAGAACTGCCCCAGAAAGAGTCAGGACAAGCCAATGAGTTAGGAGACCACGCGACATTTCATAGCTCCGGAGAAATTTACCCTGTGCAGCGACAGCAACAGCAACAGCAGCTTGTGGGCTTTTCGGTGGCTCAAGTAGAGCCGTAGCCCCAAACACGCAGTCGCCCACCCCTCGATGGGACTTCTGGTTTCTTCCTCTCTTCTGATTTTGTAGGGATACAATGGTAATCACGCAGTCCCATTTGCAATGGAATGCATCAGTGTGGAAGACAAAAGAGTGGTCCAAAAGTCGCATTTACGGAGAGCATGTGCCTTGTTAAAAAGGAGCTACTGAGTGCTGCCGATTGTTTGCATTGACGTGCAAGATTCCACCACGACGGAACTCAGCAATGCATCCTCCTAGAAGGTCCAATTCTGCTTAAGCGTACAAAGGCTAAAAATAATACATTCTCAATGCCCGGTACTTTCATGCATCAAAGGGATTGGCGAAAGCATTCAACAGTTTATGATGGCAATTTGAGGAAGTAATAGCTATCGTGGTACAAACTAAGCCATATTCTAAAATTGAGGCAACAAGACCTGAGCTATGACCTTATTCTAGGGTTGTTGATACACACAAAGGCACCATGAGCACCTCGTAAATTTGCAAACAAAGTTGAAGGGTCGGGAGGTGAGAAGAGGGCAAATTGTCCGACTGCGGCAATCGTGTTCCACAATCAGGTGCCCATTTTGAAGAGAAGCACCGCCATGACCGAGGGTAGCTGGAATCTCACAAGCTGTGGACCAGTTTTGACTAGCTGACTGGTTTTGAATATTTAAGACGGTGAGACGCAATTTTTTTTACTTCCTGTGTGAGATTCTGAAATGTTCGACATCTGAAACACAATGTTCATTGAGAAAAAACCCAGTATAATTGCAAAATGCAGGAGTATTTCCAAGAAGAATTGCCAGCAACTGCAGTAGTGGATATTGCAATAAGGTCCCCTCATCGCAGCAACACATTCAAGAGGCTTTATTTGCCACCACCATCTTCCCGTCCCTTCAGTCAATCGCATTGGCGGGTTGTTGATGTTTAGGACCTGTGAGCAATTCAAGGGAGGGAACTGGAACACTTAAGCTTTTACTGACTTGCGGTGCTACAGCTCTCATTAATAATATATAAAGCACAAATGCGGAAATTACGCAGAAAATGAAATTATTTAGTTACCTACGAGTCTAAAAATGATTTAAGCCACTTTTTCCTACTTTGCAGTAAGAAAGAATGATAAAAACATGTCAGGCTTGAAAAGAGGACGTAAATGAATTACTAACAATCTAATACACATGGTGGGGGTTGCCATATCGCCTGCTTCATCTGCCAGGGTGAAAGAAGGAGGCCTTGGTCATCACCGAAAGACGAGCCAGCC